TTCTTGCTTATATGTACAATAGTCGTTGCAATATTGTTTCTCTTGCCAAAAATTCATACAAGTCCATGAAAAAAAAAATGGTTCATAAGATCACATGTCTCCCTGGCTCATGACCAAGAACATGAAACCTATTGTTCCTATGTGGAATGATAAGATAATAAGATAAAGGCATTAATGTGTGTGTATGTCTGTGTGTACAAAAGTATGTGGAACACATATGTGAGTGCTGTATATGCATACCATCATAAACATCAGAAACCTTCCTTTATTGTTTTCCACCCAATTGTTTGAAGAGAGGGTCTCACTGAAAAGTATCCTGCTTCAGGTAGCATGACTGAGCAGTGGGCTCTTGGTACCCATCTTCCTTTACCCCGTGATGTTAGAGATATAGGCTTGTGCAGACATGCCCTGCTTTCTATGTAGGTATTAGAAACTCAAACTCAGTTAAGTATGCATGGTGCTTTTAGTTGGGAGCTCATATCTGTCCAGCAAGTTGCAGGTGGGGAGAGCAAGACAGGCCCTTGCATGATTTTTTTTCAAATCTCCAGCCCTTCCCAAGATGATACATTTCCTCCCACAAGGCCATACCCACTCCAATAATTCCAAAACTCTTAATCCTTCCCAAACAATTCCATTAACTGGGGACCAGGCATTAAAGTATGAGCTTGTGGGTGACATCTTCATTCAAGCTACTACAGGACTGTCTAGAATAAGAGGGTTTTCTTAACTTTTTCCTCAATGAGTTTAGTACTCATCTATAGGCAAGCAACTGATTCTGTGTGAAGATTTGTATCCTGCTTTTTCTCAAATTTATTTATCATCAGTAGTTGCTCTCTGGCAATTGTTTAGGGTTGTGTCATCAAACAAGGAAATTCCACTTACTCCTTTTCTATATGTATCCTGTTGTAGTTAGAGTTTTATTGCCGTGAGCAGACACCATGACCAAGGCAACTCCTATAAGGGATAACATTTAATTGGGACTGGCTTATTTGTTCAGAGGTTCAGTCCATCATCATTATGGCAGAAAGCATGGCAGCATCCAGGCAGGCATGGGGCTGGAGGAGGTGAGAGTTCTACATCTTGTTCAGAAGGCAAAATGGAGAAGACTGACTTCCAGGTGTATAGGAGGAAGGTCTCTCAAAGCTCACCCCCATAGTGACACATTTCCTCCACACCCCATAATAGTGCCATTCCTTGGGACAAGCATATTCATACCAACACATGTCCCTTTTCTTTGTGCCTTATAGTTATATTAAAGTTACATATAGTACTTTTATATAGTCAAGTACTAATCTAAATAAGAGTGGAGAATTGGACATCCTTCTCATGTTTCTGATTATTGAGGGAATGCTTAGAGTTCCTGTAGTCAGAATAATATAGGCTAAGAATTTGTCATATGTAACCTTTGTTGTGTTAAAGTTTAATCATTTGATCTCTAACTTGTAAAGATTCATTATAAACAGATATTGATCTTTATCAAAGGTTAACTCTACTTCTATTCAACTGGTCTTGACTTTTCCACTTATCTAGGTTTCTGTGTTTATAATTTACACATTGTGTTGCATATCATGAGCCATCTTTATATTACTCCAAGGAAGACAATTTGCTCATCAGAAATTTCTCTTTTAATAACAACCAACCAAATCCTAAACCAGCAAAATGTCAGAAATTAGAGAAATGTAGACTCAAAGAATGACTCTGAGACAATGGGAAAAAGAGTTGGTCTTTGCAAAGACCAACCTTAATCAGCCTCACTCAATGAAAGAGAGAAAACTCAAATAAATATGGAAGAGATTGAAAGACTCTATTACAATAGGCATCACTAAAATTCAGAAAATTATTAGGGCAAATTTTGAGAAATTGTATTACATTGAACCACAAAATTTTGAAATTTGGAAGTTCCTAGACATACATGACTCATTATAACCAAGACCAGAAGATACAAAAAACCATAAACAGATCAGCAATAGGTAGAGGCTGAATTGGTAATAAAAGTTTGTCAAATCAGAGATAAGCCCATAACTGTATTGATTAACAGTTGATTTTTTCCAGGTTATTGAAGAACTAATGCAATTGCTCTTCTAGCTATTTTATAACATAGGAAGGAGAGAAATGCTTCCAACCTCATTTTCAGGAGCCAGGATAACACAGAGAAAAAAGGAAATAAGAATAGACAGAAAGGGAGCCATGGAACAATTTCCCTAATAAACAAATGCACAAAACCCCTTAAGGAAATATTTAAGTCAAACTCAATATCATCCTTGATTTCTCCTCTCTCTTGTCACTCATGGTACTTGATGGAGGGAAGGTGTAGGGAAAACCCTGAGAGCCTAGAGCATATTACACAAGGGACTTAAGACATACTTCCAATCTGCCTCCTCTCTCCCATTATTTTCAACTGGGAGCTACATCTTGTTGAGTCTACAGAGAAGGCAACAGGCAACTATAGGGGCACGTCCTTCATTGCCTTTAGATCCCTGCTTCTTTTCACACTGGCCCTTCCCACTGGAAGACTTATACACCACCAGTTTCTTCCATTATGCCTCCTGTACACAAATGGTACATGCACACTTTCTCTTTCTTCATAGAAAAGACCCACATGGGAGGTATTGTTATGTTATGGCTGTTTTTCATATATGTGTGTGTGTGTGTGTGTGTGTGTCCTCATTGTATTTTGTCCCAAAAGTGGTGAGAAGAAGAGGTCATGGCTGCATGTTTAAATCTTCTTTATTATAAGCATGGGTCTTTTCTGACTAGATTTTTTTTCATATTTTTCTATTGAAGGGATGCTGACTTTTATTGAGTCATTCAATAGTTGAGAGATGATGGGACCATCAGTGGTATAGCATAGGCTCTGTACAGAAGGAAAGGTTCCTAGAGAGTTAGCTCCAGTCAGTGATGTAGCATCTGGGAGAATGCAAGGAGTAGCCATAGTAATTGAAATGGTTCAGGGATAGAATTGGCAGGAGACCCAGGGTATAGATGCAATAGCATGCAGGAAGAACACATGCTTGATGGAGTCACCACCATACTTCTCATAAGGGACTCCCCATCTCTGTGTTATCTTACATCCATTTCTTTTTGCTGAACCACAGGGGGTATGTAGGCACTAACTAACTCACTCCTTTGATTTATATTGATTCATTCCATTTAACTGTATTATTGCCAAAATGAAATCTAAGAAGAAGAGGTTGTCCTACCTCCTTAATTGCAAAAATAAAACATTTTATGCTTTATAAATGCCACAGACACTTTAGTTTGTAATGGCATATCTATAGAGAGGACATAAATATGTATTCTTGCTTGTACTGCATGGCATTAGAGGTAATAGATACTTCCCATTAATTCAGTTCTACATGGATTTTAAATAACATGCCACATAGGCAACAAACACAATTGTATTCAATTTCTTCCACAAACATTTACATCTGACTTTCAAGCCTTTGCTAAGTGTTCAAGGTCAAATGACTTAACCTGTTAGAGAAAACACGGAATATTCCACAGATGCATGGATGTGGAAATCAAGGAAAGCAATTATAGATGAGGAACACAATATACATGTTAACTCCACTTGGACTAAACTGTTGCTTTGACAGACAGTCTATCAACTAACTCCTTGTTCAGCTTTTTTTAGGTGTTGCTATCATTTCTATTTGTAATATTCTATAGTGGATGATGCTTCTATGCTACCTTATGTTCCTACAGCAACTGAGTCTTCACAGCCCCCAGTGAAGGAATATGTTCCTATAGTCCCTTTGACAATGCCAGCTCTGAGGTTCAAGAAGGTCTGCTAATGCATTCAAGCCCACACACTTCTATGTATAGAACACCTACAGTGATGAAGATAGGGCCAGGGGAACAGATTAAAGCTCTGGTGTAAAGAAGTCTGTGCATTTACCATCATATGGCTTCTGTCTTCGGGACTGCACAGTGATGATAGGCACCACAGTAAAAACCCTGTGACCTTTGTGTGCTACCAGAGGCCAGCAACTCCTTCAGGAGCTCCCTGGATCTTTACTCATCTCTGTTTATCAGAACTGGCATTGAATATAAAATAGTTGCAGTGTCATAACAGAATTAAGCAAGCTGAATCCAACAGGGATCTGGCGGAATCGCCACTGGATATAAACCACCCTTTCTCTGCTGTGGTACTGAGAGTCAGCAGCAAGGGAAATAGCTGAATAGAAATGAGGGAAGTTTGCAGACTGCAGAACTAGATAGGTGGCTACTGTTGACACAAAATACCAAGACCACTCAGAAGGTGGCAACAGGAGGCTCAGTAAATTAACATTACCAAAAAGCTGTTCCTTTACCAGTGTTTCTTTAATATTGATTGAAATCCATGTTAGAATAGATTGCTGTCAGTTTCTCAATGAAAATGATATAAAGGAACCCCACCCTCGTGTTCTGCTCTGCATTTTGCTGAATTTAGAATACATTAAAGACAATTAATTTCACAGCAAATAAAATAGTTGTGAATACATTCTCTTCGCTTTTGGTGTATAAGGTGGCCATACCATCACAAAGGACACGTGGTAGACTTACAGAGAACTCACATAGTTTCAGAAATCATGGATATGGGAAACATTCTACCTAATATAGCTTCATAAGACTCTGCAAAAGGACAGAGACATGCTAGCTATTAGGGAAGAAGAAGATAATAGTCTGGTTTTGACAACCAAGATGGAAAGCCTGCCCTGGGGCTCTATCTATCAGCAAAGCTTCTAGAAAAGAGCACTGTGAGGTCTCAAGTTAGAGGAAATGGTTGATTGAACAGTGAGGCCTGATATGAAAAAGATGCCCAGGGAGTGGGGCAGCACAGCTACACAAGAGCAGGAATGGCATCCTCTCTTGGACCACCACAAGGGGCTGTACTGAGTCCTGGTTGTACTCTATGGATGGATGTGAATGTGTGGGCAGTAGCTACTGTCAGCCATGCCCAGAAAGTCTGCTCACCCTAGATGGCTGTTGACAGCATCAAGTGGGTGAAGAAGCCTTACCTTGTCTGGATCAGTGGTTGTGATGACCCACACACAGTGAGCATTGTCTTCATACTGCACTGGGTAGTTAGGGGACGTGATGACACCACTCGGCCCACGAAGGTTTGATCCACATGTCCTGGCTGGAAACAGATGGAAACAAAACAGTTTGCCCAGCAGTCCATCAGATACCACCATGTGGAATAAGAGGTTTTATTTAATTTTTTTAAAAAAAGAAGTTGAGTTTTTAGGTAGCATACAAAATAATGCGTGTCAATCAGACATTTTCGTGTATGAGTATAATTTGAAATGAATATGATATAAAATGAGTATAATGAACATATTTATCCCTTTCAACACCCACCCAATCCTCTTCTCTACATACGACCACACACAACAACTGTTTCTATATATAAGTGTATACTTTAATCTAGTTTTCACACAAGAAAGAAAATAAGCACTGTTTTCTCTTTACTCCCCTGTCCCTTCCCACACAGACCTGCTTTGACATTCATGTCCTATGTAGGTATAAATACAAATTTCTATTTAAATCTAGATTCTTCACAGGAGAAGAAAAACATGACATTTTATTTTTTTAAAAGATAATTATGTCATTTCCCCCACCCTTTGTCCCTCCAGACCCTGCCTCATGTCCTTTCTCCAGTCTCTTTGAAATTCTTGGACTCTTTTTATTTAATTGGCACACAGATGTTTTTTGGAGAGTGTGCACATGCCTCTGTGTGTGTGTGTGTGTGTGTGTGTGTGTGTGTGTGTGTGTGAGAGTGTTTGTGTGTGTTCCTAAATAAATAATATTGAACCAACAAAATATTTAACTATATTCTAAAAAGGATTATTTTCAATTTTCTTGCATGCACATGTCTGTGTGTGGATATTAACGTGTGAGTTTAAAGGAGAAGATGCCTACAAGATACAGAAGAGGGTATAGGATCTGCCAGTGCAGGAATCACAGGCAGCCGCTAGCTAACCATTGTGGCTACTAGAAACTGCCTCTGGTTCCTTTGAAAGAGGAGCACGTGCTTTTTAACTTCTGAGCCATCTCTCCAGTCCCCATGAAATTTACTTATAGTAAATCATGATGTAAAGTTGGCAGTTGTCTTTTGCTCAGTCTTCAGGAACCTTGCCTGATAGTTCAGATACAGGTGAGGATACCTTGTTAAAGGAAATATGCAAAGATAATGTCACTCATTGTCACAAAGCCATGAAAAGATCAATATCAAATCAGTCTATTTCAGAACCTTCTGGGGACACAAAACCAAGTTTCCTATGTACTCATTTGTACACAGAGAGTCTATATCTATCCATTTGTGCACAGAGCCAGTGAGTTATAGAAAAGAGCTCAATACAGTGGGATTTGGGACCAGTATCACACCTCACACAGGATACACTTTAAATGCAGCTTCATCTCTGCTAAGCTTTGTCCTATTTCTTTCAAATAAGGATGGAGGAAGCAATGTCAAAGTCTCACTCGATGCTCAGATTCTATTTCACAAAAACAAAACAAAACAAAAAAACAACAAAAAAAAACGATGCCAAGTCTTATAGTACAATGAAGATAGGGACTTGAGTGTATTGTGCTGTTGAAAGCTTAAAGGAAGTAGAAACAATGACTCCAAAAGCAAAAGAAGACATCGTTGTCCCTTTCTTCATCTTGAAGCTAGAATGAAAAATCAACTGAAGCTGTAAACTGTAAAACCAAAGAAAATGGCATGCTTTGTGATAAAAAGTATTTCAATCACCCCATTCTTTCTCAAGGTTTTATTTTTTCCAAATCATCGGGTAACTTGGAAATCTAATATCAGTGTGAGTTCTTGATTGAATATTAATAACTCAAATTGGGCTTGGGAAAAAACAAAAAGGCTAGTTTTATGAGAAAGTACATGCAAATATATGCCTGCCATTATCCTAGACACTGCCATGCACAAAGCATACCTGGCCACCCAGTGGATTAGTCTAGATACTTTCACACAGAGAGCTTACCTGGTCACCCAGTAAAGCATCTGTCCTGTTCATGACCCAAGCTCTCTCTTCCCACTAGCCCTTGGCTGATGATATATTCATGCCAATTGTTTTCTAGGAGACTTGCCTCTAAGGATCAACACTGTAGATCTCATGACCTGAAAGGGCTAGCTTGGGAATTCAGGAGCCTCACTGACCCCAGCAGGAATACACAATCTCCTTTCTAGGCTATATTCATATTAAGATGATTTAAACTGTGAATGATCCTGGAAATAATAGCACTCCTCTGTAGAAGTCATGACTCTCTGCCACTGTTTCTCCCCAGATTTGTCTTCTCAGGTTGTGAGACTGGGGCTTCTGTTTATTTTATGGTACAAGCTCAGCACCAAAAACAGAGGCTGAAGTCCTTCATATGAGGTTGAGAGTCGCATCCAGCAACTTAAAAGTTGATGAGTACTCACTACAGACATAATTAGCTAAAAACTAGTCAATTCTACATGCATAAACACATTAAAAATGACATTTTAAATATCAACATTTTTTTACCTAAAGGAATTGTTAAAATAAAGTATGAGACTATTTTTCAAATCCTCTTGGGCATAGAGTAGCTCTACATGTTGCCCAAAAGAGAGCTGTCTGCGAGTATAGACCTAGATGCTAATCTTCACTCTGTGATAT